TTAAAGGTCTTTTTCAACCTAAACGATTCTATGATTCTATGCCTGCAAAATTGCTGGATAACAATGCCTGCCATCACCTTTTTTCGTCTGTTTCCTTGTCCTATATACAATACCCAACTACTATGTGTAACCTTTCATTTAGATTACAAGAACTTTGAGGAAGGGACCATCTCTTGGCTTTGCAATCGTGCTGTACCTAGCATAGAGGGCCTTATCTTAAACTTCACCTCTAGGCAGTAAACATACCAGTAAGCTAAACAGAACCAGAGCACGGAGGTGAGCGCTGGTCCAGCCCTGGACCTTTGCAATATTTGAGTAACTATTTCTTTCCAATTCCCAGATGGTGAAAGGCAACTCCCCCCTGCTATAAGCCGCCTTCTGCTGGCAGTTCAAGCCAGGGATGTTCCTTTCACACCTTGTCCTTCCCAACCTCCAGCTGAGCAGGTGACGCAGGGCAGAAAGCAATGCAGCTGGAGCATCAGTACGCTCCACCAATCTTCAGTGGACTGCTGGTTCCTCGGGGCCTGCTGCCAGCCTCCAGAAGTTAAATTAGTTTCAAGGAGCTCAGTGCTGCAGTTTGCTGACTCAGACCCCAGCAGATACTCAGCTCCAAATGATAAAAATGACAGAGAACAGCTGTCTCGGACAAGGGAATCTGTGACCAAGTGGGATTTATCCTGAAGCTGGGATTTCTGTCAGCAGCTTCTGGTGGTCAGTCTAACCCCAGACTGCATAGTGTCAGCTCTTCTGATTTCCCTTTCTTCACTGTCCTCTCAAATCAATCTGCTTCTGCAGTCTGCTTCTGCAGAAACCTTGTGCAGGTCTGGTACACGACTGACGTTCAATAAATTGTCCAGTTGCTGTGCTGAGTCTCTTGAATCATAAAAATACCTTCCAAAATTGTCTGAGGCATACATGCAGATATTTTCTCAAATGAATGGGCACAGCAGTGCATCTGTGTACTCAAACAGACAAGTGAAAGCCCTTCTTTTAAAGAACACCAGAATCCAGCGACTTCCTCAGTGGTCAGGTCTTCTAAAAATTACCTTGAAGTATTTAAGAGCATTCAGACTAAAATCGTCAGGGTAGAAAATGATGGCAGACATCCCTTATTTCTAATCCTAGCCTCGCTGCTGATGTAGTGGGTAGCATTAGATGCATCTCTTAACCTTCCTAGGCCAGCCAACCAGCCTGTGAAAAGGAGATAACATTTACTTTCCTTTCTTACTGATTGGTATAGCATTTATTAAATACTATTTGTAAAGCACTTTGAAAATCACGTAAAGAATTATTGCTATTACAGTTTCTGTTCTGTGTTTTGATAGTTTCCAGTAATTTTCTGACTAGAGCATGACCCTTTTCTCATCAGCTTTTTCACAGTGCAGTTTTCATGTGATTGAGTCACTTTGGTGTAAGATGTTGATGCTCTTAAGCAAGAAGTAGCTTCGTCTGAACTACCGTAGCAGACTGTGTGCATTCCCAGCCCGTAGCAGTGCACAGTCCTGTGGGATCATCTGGACCATCTTTGGTGTCATTCGGGTTTGGAGGAAAAATAAGTGCACACATGCAAGCAGTTACCTTGTTCCAGGGGTTATAACTGCATACAACTAACTCACTGGTTTTATTATTTGGCATATTCACCATAGGAATGTATATTTTTGAAAACGTGAACTGGGTTGCCTTAAACTGATTTAGCAAATCAGTTTACTGATAGCAGGGCAATAACTGTGGTTTTAAAGTAAGGGAGTTTAAAGACAGAATTGGATCAGTTTAGCTAGATTGGTTCCTAAGCTGATTTTGTTGCTTTGGGTTTGGTTTGTTGGGGTTTTTTTGGCATGACCAAGTCCTAAAATAAGTATCATAAGTGAAATTTCAGTTTTAAAATTACAGTGAACTGAATGTTTCAGCCCTCTAAGTGGGTTGACTGTATTCCAGGTTTCTGCAAGTAGGTTTCACTCCTGTTACAGTACTCAGATACAGCCTCTAATAGTGAAATCCTGGTCCTGTTTAAGTCGCATCACTTAGTCTGAGCAAAACTCTTTGATAATTTCAAGGCTTCCATGTGGTTTTAGTCTAATTATTGTGGCACAGACTTTTTTCAGGTAATAAGGCATGAGAATAAAATGAGAGATCTCAAACCACTATATTGTATACATGATTTCTCTGTAAAGCAAAGTTAATAGATGGATCGAAGTATTGGTACTGGATTATAAACCACATTTTTAAATAAAGCTTTAAATTTGATTAAACTGGTAGTTTATAGAGGCTGTAAGTCCTCAGTATCCCATGGTTGTGGGCGCGGTGTTAATAAAACAGCAGGAAAGTCTCCAGACTTTTTCAGTATTGTGTACCTGCCATCGCATTCAGCAACTTTGGCACGGCTCTTTCAGAGCAATGGATTTTCAGAGCAAAGAGATGAGAAAGGGCTACACTTTTCTGTGGGGTTTTTTTTTTTTTGAGCCTGCTTTGTGGAGAAATAGAGAATTTCATCCTTTGCCCTGTCTCTCCAGAGACTTTTAAGAAAAACAGAACTGTACAAGTATAATTTTTTCAGAGTGATAAAAAAGACATCAGAGATCAGCAACAAAACCAGAAATAAAATTATCTTGTTCCTTCAGTCCCAAGATGGTTTGCTCTTGTTAAATTTAATTTCACGAGGGGAAGCTGGAAGGAAGGTGTTTTCAGTGTGGTTTTTTCTGTTTGGTTTTGGTTTTAGCTTTTGTTCAGTTCATCAAGGTAACTTCAAAGCTGCACCCTGTGCCTCTGGGAAAAATGGCTCATGAGCAACAGCACCTGCTAAGAAATACTGCCTGTCTCTGTTTTCACAGCTGCTGGAGCCTGACACGGAGGCAGTGCTTTCCCTTCTACATCCTGTTTTGGGGATGCAGGAGAGGCATAGATGTTTCCCCCCAGCAGGTTACCATCCCTGACCCAGGTTCAATAAAGCCAAGAACCGCTCACAAAGGAGTGAAACGGAGGTGTTTCCAAATAAAAACTCTTTCTCTTTCCCACTTGCCTAAAAACTTGTTGAGCATCATTTGTAATGTTTGTTTCTTTCCTCCCGTTGCCCCTTTCGGTGCCCAGATTCATGCAGAGCAAGCTTCTCCCTCCCAGCTGAAGGGCTTGCCAAATACTAATTGACTGTTAAAAATGTTCTCATCAAAGTACAAATGCTGCGCAGCTTTGCTGGCAAGGGCCAGCAACTTACTCATCAGGCTGTTGCAAGCCAAGCTCCATAGGTCTGGGAAGCTGATGCCCCCATTTGAGTGGTAGAATAAACACGTCTTTAGCTTCTTAAAATGCTTTGCACTCCCTCCCATGGACTCAATTTAAAATTATTTCCTGAATAACTTTCTTTTCATAATTATATTTACTAAATGGCACCTCAGTCTATCGGCCATAAAAAAAAAAAAAAAAAAGGTTCTCCTGAATGATGGATTGCGTAAAGATTTTTTTTTTTAGAAATAGCGCATAACCGTTGTTGCTGCTGTGGGATTTTTGCAGCTATGCCGAAAACCTCATAATTAATTTAAAAGATAATTTTAAATACTTTTTTCAGCTTCTTTCTTACCTTGTAATTACAAGGTGCATCAAGTCTGGCTTTGGGCTGTCAGAATGCTTTCAGATCCTAGTTCTCAGGATGCAGAGAGAAGTACTTGAGCACATGGCTCTTAAGCACGTGAGCAGCTCTGCTGAAGCCAGCGAGCCTATTCACATGCTTAAAATCTGTGTGAGACTGTCATACGCTAGCGCCAAGCATCGAAAGTGAGAAGCAGGGATGAGAAAACTTTCTTTGCCTAAAACATGCATTTGGCATTGCAACTGAATAGATGCTGAGAAAAAAAAAAACAAAGCAGCAAAAACGAGAGGTCTTCAGATTGTGCTGAAATCCCTTCCTTTCTCAGTTAACACCTCTATTTTGAGTCTATCCATAGTAGATACATCCTGTGGGTACCTCATAAAATCTCCATCTCTGACAAGATGTGAAGTTTAAATACGGAACTAAGAAAAAACCCAAAACCCTATTCCAACATCTTTACATTAAGAGAAGAAATATTTTCCTTATCGAGGTAACGTCCTTTCATACAGCTCTGGAGGGCTGTCTTGTTAGCCCGACATAATATCCAACACTAGTGCAGGCAGAAAAGCCACTGGGCTGGAGGTAGCGTAGGGCGAAGTTGCAGACCACAGGCAGTAAGTTACCTGCCCTGCTCTAGATGATTAAGAGTCAAAAAAGACTACGTGCCGAGTGCTGTGGTACAGAGACTGCCTGCATGGTGTTCATTTCTTCCCTGCGCCTAGTACAGTAGGTCCACGACTGGGCTCCACATGTTCCCTGGGTGGCATTAGGTATTAGTCAGGTTAGCAGCGATGCCAAGACAATTTATATGGTAGTGTGTCAGAGAAAGCACTTTCCAAATAGTTTATTTCATCATGCAAAGTGATCCAATCTGTGACTGCATGTGGATGATAAATACTTTAAAAGAAAAAAAGGAAATGAGTACGTATGATCAAATAACACTAGAAAAGCAATAACAAAGATAAACATTTGTCTCAGAAAAAGGGATGGGTTCATTTTCAATATACATGAGGGCAACATGCAAAGAAGTGGAGTTTGTACTCCTGCCTCTGCCACTTGCTCTTACCCAACTAAAGCCTCTTTGGGTTGTAGGTTTTATGCTTGTAAAATGTGGGCGATGATATTTCTTGCAATTGTTTTTCTGGGGTCCTTGCTAGGGACTTGTTACAACACACAGGGTGGTGCTTGCACTGACTTTGTATTCCATCTCTTACAACAGCTTCGATCTTGTTACCATTGGTGGCATCTCCATTATCCTGCACTTTGAGCGGGCTCCCTTCATCACCCAGGAGCACACGCTGTGGCTACCATGGGATCGCTTCTTCGTGATGGAAACCATAGTCATGAGGCACGAAGAGAATGAGATCCCAAGCTGTGACCTCAGTAACTTCGCCCGGCCCAACCCTGTGGTTTCCCCATCTCCTCTGACAGCTTTTGCAAGTTCCTGCTCGGAGAAAGGTCCCATCGTTCCTGAAATCCAGGTATGAACTGAGGAGAAAATAATCCAGCTCCGTTCTGTGTTTCTTTTGCTTGCTTTGAGCAACACAAATGCAACTATTCTGTGTCTTTCTCTATTCCCCTGCTTTGCTGAAAAGAAGGATTCCCCATTTGTTACACCATTTTTCAGACGTTTGCCAGGAGCACTCACTCACAAGCACGCACTTAGCCAGGTTTCTTTTCCCTTTTCCCTGAGAGACAGAGGCGCAGCACTTGTGGCCAACAGTGAAAACCTACATTGGCTCTGCTTTGCTTTCACCTCTCGTCCGCAGGAGGTGGGCTGGGACCCCCATATGACCCACAACAAGCCTTCGGGCAGCCCTTTGGCATTCAATACGCCCAGCACGAGGCTGATAGACCACCTACACTCTGATGCCTTTCTTCTGTCTGAGAGCAAATTTCACCCACTGGGCGTTACGGACCTCAGTGGTGGAGTATCGGGTGTGAACTTTCTCAGGATTTGAAGGCGTACCCCTCCCTCTACAAAGCTGCTGAGATGTGCAGTCAGCCAGCAGATGGCTGGCAAATGGCCAGCCTGTGGAGCACCTGTGTTTTATTGCATTTCATGACATTTGGGATAGATGAGCAAAGCGAGAGGGTTACTTTTAATTTCTCATCCTCATTTTCCTTTTTTAAAGAAGTGTGAGTCAGATAAAATAGTTTAACGACCTGCTGTGTATTCAAAGTATTTTGCCAAATGGAAAGCTGGGTTTTAAACTGAATAATCCAAACAACTGAATTATCCATTTTCCTTAAAAATACTCACTGTGTTGAAATATATGGATGTAGCAGCATTCAAGCTTTCCTTTCTTAGGCGTGCTATTCCCTGGGTTTTAGATGCCAGCATTCAGCATGTCCTGGGTATTGCTCTTAGTGACAAATAATAGTCTGCCAAGGTAGAAATAACAACAAGTGTAGCAACAAATTGTGTGCTTCCTGCTTGACTCCATTGGGGTTGCAATAGCGTTAATGAGGAAAGAAGTCACTTTATGTCTTCTAATTTTAATACACCAGATACTGAACCCACCAACAAATAAAGCTCATGGTCTCTTTACCTTTCCCTCTGGACCAAATCCTGTGATCCTTTCTCACGCTAATTTCCAATTACAGTCACCAGGTTTGTCCCAGCATAATTACTAATTAAGTCCCATATCTTGTAAAGTCCATCAGATTGCAAATCCTTGGTTCAGTTTTCACATCTGTTTTTTCCTAAACCAACAAACACCATGAAAGGTAATGTTCAGTGCTGCCTGGGAAAGAAGCAAGTATCTGATACAGTGCAATTATAATCATAACCTCACTCATTATTTGGTAGGATACTCATTAGATTGTGTTAATTATATCTATTGAACTAAAATGTTCTAAGACTCCTCTTCAATAAGAGTGCATGTCTGTCTATCAACTGTGAAAGTACCCAGAGATGTAGATCATAAGCAATGGTTTGATACAGACTATAGATCATAGAATCAAATAATGGTTTGGGTTGGAAGGGACCTTTAAAGGTCATCTAGTCCAACCCCCTTGCCATGAGCAGGTACATCTTCAACTATATCAGGTTGCTCAGAGCCCCGTCCAACCTGACCTTGAATGTTTCCAGGGATGTGGCATCTACCACCTCTCTGGGCAACCTGTGCCGGTGTTTCACCACCCTCATCGTAGATGTTGAGTGCCGTTTGAAATGTCCTGCAGATATTCTCCTTGGTCTTCAACTGCCAGTCCAGAATGATCTCCCTGTCAGTGTCCTGCATTATATCTGCCAACCCCTCGTGAATGTCACAGATAACTTGGACATCCCAAATCACACTAGACAGCTGTAGTTACGGAATCTAATTGAGACCTAAGTGGGATTCGTTTTGAGATTATGGCACCTAAATAAGGTGTTCACACACAATCGTCTGGATGTGTGCTAAATGCCCGCGCTCCCATTAAAGCTGACAGAAATCTAATCAATTCCATCAGCAGAGCCTACAGATCAATTCAGCTGACTATCTTGAAGGTATCTGGTTCCCACGGATGGTATCAGTTAGATGTCCACTGACTATAATTAATGCTTACATGCCTACTTCACATGCACACACTTATATGTTATTGTCTGGATTTAGATGCCTTAAACTGGAATTGAATCCCACTCTTACTTTTGTGTGGCAAGACCAACCTTCTGGAAGGCCTATCTCTGCCCATTGACCATGGAGAAACCTAGAAGAATAGCTCAGAGGAGACTTCTAACTTTTAGGTTCCTAAGTTTGGATAAATAAATCCTATACATGATGAGCAGTACTTTTCCCACGTGCCATATGATTGAGCTAAAACCTGTAAAACTGTATTTGTCCTGAAGTATTGACAGCTGAAGGTTAACAAAGTTTGTGATGCAGGAGTATACAAGAAAATCTGATTTTATGGCAGAGTCCTGACTGTACTTCTGGTCCTAAATTAACGATTTTTCATTCCTATACTGGATATACATACAATAAAAAATAACCTAGCTGTCAGTTTCCACAGCTGCATTTTATGATACGCAGTTCTCAGTACAGAAATGTTAAATATAAAAGGTGTGAGCACATAGCTGTGAGGAGGTGACAAGTGGGTGGCAGGGCTGGGAAAGAGATTTTGACAAGTGGGCAGATAGGAACTTCATTAGCTCCAACAAATAAATGCAGTGTCCTCTACCTGGATGCATTCAGAAGACCAAGTAATACATTTTAAGTTGTTAATTCAGGTGCCTAAACGCAGATTTGATGCCATTTTAAGATGCCTTGAAGTGTCCCTTCAGGCCTCCAGCTGTGGCTTCAGAAAGGCAGAGATCTCAAGAAGGTTCATGTCAGATCTGTCATCCCCTTGCAGAGGTTTTGGATACCACAGAACATCTCAAAAGCACTAGACACCTATGTTAAGGCCCCTGAATCAGGCCCTAAATGTCTTTCTCAAAATTCCTTCTGAGAATCATATTAAAAAAAAAAAGATCGATTGATCCTTGTCTTGCCTGCTGGCAGAGTGAAGAGTACCTGTAAGAGAAATGTGTAACCCAGCACACAGAAACAAGATTTTCTACATTGTCTCATGCAAAGAGTGGAAGAGTTGCTACTAACACAAGCATAGATCAGCACGAGAAGCAAAGGGAACATGGCAGTGAAAATTGTTAAATTGTGAAAATCCCTAGTAAGACTGAAGAACCAGCTCTTCTGCTGCCTGACCAGCCTGGTGGCTGGACCACTTTTAAAGAGCAGATTACATGGGTTAGGCTGTGATAAACTTTAAGAGCCCTACTCTTTCACAAGGACCCCAGACACAGCATATGAATTTATCTGGGCCAAACAGCAATTATCAAATAGAAATAAGGGCACAATTCAGCTGTCATTACTTTTGGTGCATTCAGAGTATTTTAAAGCTTATTTTTTCCCTCTTCTCCCACCAGTGTCCTACTGGATTATACTCCCCCCACCAATACCCTGCTTTGTTGCTAGTTCAGCACTACTTACAAACCTCAAAATGTGTTTCGGATAATCTGAATTACCATTTGAACCCGCTCTTCAAGCAAGCGCCTTTAAACACAGCCCCTTGTGCTGCTCGGTGCCTTGGTAGCACTGTGCTGACCCTTTCTCTGGAATGGTAGACAACAGAGACAGATCATAACAGAGAGAAATAATTATTTCTGACAGGGATTTGAACCAGACACTGCAAATAGTACCTCTGTGACAATTATTTCTGCCTGGCTTTTTCCTAGAGGGGTTACATATGAAGACAGATTTGATACAAGAGACCACCTTTACTGCAGCTTGGCTCAGCTGGTCTCTGGTTGAGCCTGGTCCCGGCCCAGCTTGTTGCTGAGCTCATAAAATCTATTTTAAAATTCCTGGGTTTTCCCAGTTCTGTCATTTTTCAGCCTCCTAAGCACTGAGATATGTAAATTGAAAAGGCTGCATTAGAGAAAGTAAATATTTATGAGCACAGTGGAGCAGCACTTTAACTTCTGGATCTGTCCGTTTGTCAAGTGCTGCAATGCTCAGAGGCTGTAAGTTATCACTTGAAAAAGTGTTGGGCCTTGGCTAATAGCTTAGAAGAGGTCTTTTCAGGGGGCAGATTACAAGATTTGTCATTATTTATAAGGCTAACCAGAACGCCTGTAAGAGATGAGCAACTTGTTACGCCAGGGAAGTTTGCTGCTCCGACATAGGAGGAGTTGAGTATAGGAGCCACGTAGCTTGGAGGACACTAGGATGGCTGTGATCCCTTCCTGATGGGTGGATCTCTTGACCCACCTGCCTTCGAGCCTCCATGCCCTTAATATTACGAAAGCTGATTATTGGTGGGGAAGTATTTTCACAGCTCATTTAGGATCCAGCACAGCGAAGTATTTCAGAAGTGGCGCAGGAGAGAACAGTGCCAGCTGTGACCTTCTGACACATCCCATTATCAGACCAAGTTTTCCAGCTCACTGCTAAGCTTCTACCTTCATCTTTCAAACTTTGCCAAAGGTTGCCAGCTTATGCAGAAAATGTCCACGTTGGGTGCTTACCTAAGAATGAAATTTTCTGGAAAGTGACAACTAATTTTTTCCCCCACAAGACTCAAGAAAGAAATGCCCTTTTTTATCTGTATTTTGCATGGGAGAATCAGCATGGTGTCAGGAATGTACATTGTAGCCCCTTCCAGAAAATTTCCCTGAATTTCTCCAACTAAAAAGAAAAAAATTAATTTTAAGATCTGATTATATTTTAGCAGGCAAATTAGCTGAAAATCCCATCTTTACTGAGACTTCTCTATTCTCAAAGCAGAACAGGGGCAGACAAAACTTTCCCTGCTGTTTCTCCACTCTTTGCGAAATTCTGTGCTGGAATGGAGACCCATGAGATAACGGTCCCGATCAGCCAGAAATACCCACACTGCATGGCTGGAGGAGAAAACGAAGTCACACACCTAGAATACAGAGGAATTTGGAAAAGGAGGGGAAGGGAGAATGCAAAGGAGGGGAAAGGGGTTGACGGTGGTAGGTGGGGCCAAGAACTTCATTGTGCAGGTAGGAGGGGAGGGAATTTTAAGGAGGGACCAGGGTGAGCAGGAACAAACATGAGGTCAGAAAATAAGGACCAGGACAGAGGAAAAAAAAGGCTAAAGGTAGATCAAAGAGGGTCAGAGGTGAAGTAGGAGAGGAACAGTTTGAATGGAGGAGAGATGGGTAAGTCAAAGGAGGGAGGGTGGAAGTAGGATTCACTAATGACATGGAGAGAATGGCAGGTTACGATCGGGACCAGGGAACATCCATAAGGATACAGGCCAAGTAGGGCTTGATCTTTTACCGGGAAAAAGACAAAAATTAGCAGCCATAGGAACCTACCAAGATAGAAGACAGAAAGTGGGAGCTAAACTGATGGGCTGGAATCATCTCAGATGCCGAGCTCCTTTCACCATGGGGCCCAGGACTCCTTTTAGCTGTGAGTCCCATTGCAAGCACTGACTTAAATGTGGTACTTTGGTCTCCTGTTCTGCCATTTAACAGAGATGGACAAAGAGGGGGCCATTCCTTGGCTTCCACAACTAACCCTATAAATTACATATACGATTTTATAACTGATGCCTACTAGATGTGCTTTTTTAGACATGTCTACCAGAGCTTTTATAAAGATGTGTTTGATAAATTACAGCTTCACTCCCTTTTCCTGTCCGCTCGCTGCTGATTTAACACCTCCTGGATTGCTTTTCTGCAGGCTCTACAGGAGGAGATTAACATTTCCGGTAGTAAAATAAAAGTGAGTTACCTGAGCAGTCGCACAGCTGGCTACAAATCCGTCCTGAGGATCAGCATGACCCACCCCACCATCCCCTTCAACCTCATGAAAGTCCACCTCATGGTGGCCGTCGAGGGACGCCTCTTCAGAAAGTGGTTTGCAGCTGCTCCAGACCTGTCCTATTATTTCATCTGGGATAAGACAGATGTCTACAGCCAGAAGGTGTACGGGCTCTCAGAAGCCTTCGGTAAGTGACCCCAGGGCTTGTGTCTCTTTTTAGAAGCAGCTAAGTGGCAATGCACAGACCTTGTCCTAGATCGGTATGGTCCAAATGCTAACAGATAAAATGGTCCCTGCTGGTTCACTGCTGTTTCCTTGGAGAGGAGTGGGCCCAGCTGTTCAGACAGCACACATTTCCCCAACAGATGAATACTTATCTGTTCTGTGGCTCATGGCCCAGCACATACATCCTGAGCTGCTACTGTCATATTCATACAGACGGAATGAACTGCAACTAGAGGCTTTTGGCTACCTCTCACCTATAGCCAAAAGCTGTCAGTGCTGCTTTGAAAGAAATCCCTAGAACTGAGTCCTAATATCCAACTTCCTTGTGCCTTGTCTTCAGGATTGCTCTAACCTTACAGTTTTCCCTTCGTTACCCATTCAAGAAGGCAATCCCAGAACAGGGCCTGATGCTCTTCTCTCTTGTCCCTTGTGCATTCATTTACATCTGCAAAAGACTGACAGAAGCTGCAACACAGAGAGAGAAGAGGAGGGCTCTGCCTACTCAATGTGCCACATCCCCGGCACCAAGCAGTATGGTCTATGCCACCCACTCTACAGGGGCAGAACCTGAAGTCCTTGCTGGGGCAGGAAGCTGTGGATATAATATGTATGCAGAGACACACTTCATTCCTCTTCCTGCTGCCATCCCAGACCTCACCGAGTGAGCCCTGTGTGATGATGGTGGAGGGAAGGGAGTACTTTGAGTGCATAGTGAGCAGAGGTGATGCTGCTCTGTAGTGGTTGCTCCCTGTCTGATCAACAACCAGAGGACATCCAGTTAACAGGTCTTCGACAGAGTCTGGACTAGACCTTTCAGGCTGCCAAGACAATGATCTCAGCAAGATAGAGAAATCCCAAATTAGCAAATAGAGCTCTTATTTACAGAAGGGTGGTTTACTGATGCCTCATAGCCCAACTGAAGATAAATCTTTTTAGAGGAGTTGTTGGGGTGCCTTGTTGTCTAGGGGGAAGAATGGGTGCCTTCCTCTCGCTCAGGATCAGCTACCTTGAGCAGGCTAGATGATACGACCTGCTGAGCCTTACCCAGTTTGGAGTCCACGCTGAGAAACATGTCCTGGTAGCATATCCTGAAAAACTGTGTTTATATGCCCTTTAAGATTCTATATCAGCAGTGGGTCCTGGAGTGCTCCATGATGCAGCTCTGCAGCCCTAGACTACTCAAGCAGGTCTGAGGATTCATGCTTTCAATTATTCCCACCTCTAGAACAGTGGAAAATATCAAGCCTTCATTTCCTAAATTACATCTTCCTCTGATACTGTCTGATCCTGCAAAAGGCTGTATTTGATGGGGGATCCTGAGCTCGCCCAGTACTCAGCACTTTTCAAGGAGGCTGGGAAACTTGTAAGATCAGGCCTTTATTTTTATCTAGTAAAAAAAAGAGCTATGTAATTGCTTTTCATTTGTATAAAACTTGCAGTTCTGCTCTGCCTCAGCTGTTAATGCTGAAAAGATCATGTAGGGCAGAAGAGCAGACCAATGAAACTCGTCCTGCTTCTTCTGAGAAAATCATAAAGGAGTCGTTTTTCTGTCAAAAACATGATTTTCCTTTTACTGACATCATTTTACTCTTAAGCAACTCCAATATGTTCAGCAGAGTTGCTCCTGAAACACTCTGATCATGGCAAGCAAACCAAGTTTTGCGATGTAGCCTTTTGACATTAACAATGACCACAAGTCAACCTGGTCTAAAACTGCTGTCTCTGAGGGACTCACTGCCCCGTGCCTCATTTGTATAAGTCTCTACTTTCCAAGAAAGGCCATGATTTTTAGCAAGTTCCTGGCATGCAGTCTTAGATCAAAGATACCAGGTAGGAGTCAAATGCTCCCATTTAGGAGTGCCGGAGTGGTTTACACTCTCAGATACCCATTGTTTTCAAATATGTCTTTAAAACAGTGCCTTTAAAATATTTAGCACATTTGCACAGCATCTACAACTGCATTGACTTTTTTAAACACAGGATGGCCTTTAAAGACAAAAATATTAAGACTGTGCATTACAATGATGACATTTTAAATTAAATTGGCAGTTGCCTGTAGAAACGCTCTTACCCCTGCTCAGTTGAAACTCATTGTGTACTGATTGTGCATTTCTGGGTTACTAATCTGGGGGGTCTTTTGCTTCTCTCTTGTTCATAGTTTCAGTAGGTTATGAGTATGAATCCTGTCCTGACTTGATCCTGTGGGAGAAGAGGACAGCTGTGCTTCAGGGTTATGAAATCGATGCTTCCAAACTTGGAGGGTGGTCCCTGGACAAACATCATGCCCTCAACATACAAAGTGGTAGGTTGACTGTAGCACATAACAGAGGAATAATGCAGTTTTGCAAGGCCCAGTTGCTTCTTATTAAGAATTCAAGAAAAGGAAAAGAAAGAAACCTGACCAACACATGTACTCTCTCTTGTATTTTACTAACAAATTATTTCTAGTAACCTACATTTAGAAGCAATATGGTGTGCATAAATCCAAAATAAGCTGGCCATCGCAAAGCAGTTGAATGTCAGCATGTCTAACTTTGTAGTGTCTTGAAAGAAGGGGATTAACAAGGAAAATATTCCTAAAATAACAAGGAGGAGTCTATTCAGATTGGACCTACCACTGACCATAAAACCACGCAGACACATTCTCCAATGTGCAAGTGTACTTGCAGGAATGAGAGGCTTCATGGGTCATAAGGGAGAATGGAAGTTGCCAGAGTCCTTGAAGGTTGTTCAAGGATGCAGCAGGGAGGCTTGAAAGCTGTTCAAAAGATGGAAGCACGGTATTCTTCTGGATGATAGCAACGGTATGGAAGCAAACATCTAATTCAGCCCACACCACTGCTGAAAACACTACACTTACAGGGAATATAAGCAGAGCTCCTCTAAAGCTTTGCAGATGAAACATTTCTCTAGAGAATGCACCATGGTCCCTTATCTTTCCATAAGCTATGTAATTTCTTTTTTTACCTGGTAGGCTGCAAATTACAGGGCAAGGGGGGACAGAAAAGGCAGGTGAAAATTCATGAGACGCTGAAAAGTGTATTTCATTCAAAGGTAAAGACAGTCGTGTTCTCCTTACATACTTCTGTTCTGCAGAATATAATGGGTCTAAAAAAAAACTTACTTCAGATAAGGGGCTCCTCATTTGAAACCATCACAAAACAATACTATGAAAGATGATAAACCTTCATAGAATCATCTAGGTTGGAAAAGACCTTCAAGATCATTGAGTCCAACCATAAACCTAACACTGCCAAGTCCACCACTAAACCATGTCCTTGCCACTTGACAGATTCCCCAGCTGCCATCCAGCATTGCCAGCTTGTGCTCCCTTTGGTCTCAGTTTCCCCGTCTCTCTTTAATTTCCTTATTACTGTTTTCTCTCTCTAGGCATCTTGCATAAAGGAAATGGGGAAAACCAGTTTATTTCTCAGCAGCCACCTGTAATCGGAAGCATTATGGGCAACGGCCGCAGACGTAGCATTTCTTGTCCAAGCTGCAATGGTCTTGCAGATGGGAACAAACTCCTGGCTCCTGTTGCCCTAACATGTGGGTCTGATGGAAGTCTTTATGTTGGAGATTTCAACTACATCCGAAGGATCTTTCCCTCTGGCAATGTCACCAACATACTGGAGCTGAGGTACATTGTGCTGAATGTGGCCATTATAATTATGCCCTTAAGTTCTACAGAAATCTTATGTACCCAAAAGGAAAATGAGCAAAACTCTTAAAAAAAACACAGCAAAACAGAAAAAAAAGCTGTCCAGATTTGCCTTTTCTGCAACTCTGCTGACTTTGATTTACACCAGAGAAACACAGGCCTAACAAGTTCTTCCAGAACTGAATCACACACCAAAAATAGTGACACGTTTCTGTGCTGCTAAATTAAACTGCGTTGATATCTGCCCTTTGGTGTAGATAGAGACCAGTGGGAATTCTTAAAATTAACAGTCAGCCTCTGAGATAACCTAAACTTGGAAGGACACAGCACTGGTGATGATATATAGAGGTTAATCAGGACAGATGATCATTCATAATTAAGACAGGATGATCACCTAGGGAGTCACAAACTGGGTTTTTCTAGTTGTTTTTTGGGGGACAAATGTATCAGCCCCCCTCAATTCCCAACTGAACAGCAGTGTCAGGGTGAACATATAGACGGATCGTCTGAAAGTAAGTGAAGTGTTTCCTTTTAACCCCAAATAACAAAGGAAAAAAAATATATTAGGAAAAATAGGAAGGCTTCTGAAGGATCATCCGTTAAAAACAAGGAAGGGGAAGGAAAAGTATAGATTCATCACGAGTTCTGAGGAAATCAAATAGATTTTGACTGCATCAAAATTTCAAATTGACCTCACAGCAAATACAATTACCCACTTCAAAGCACCAGGGCCTGATTCTGGACTCTGTGACTAGCTGAGACTCACTCCAGGAAAGTCAATAGAGTTAACCCAGTGTTTGTGAATGAGGCTTCTCTGCTTGAAGGACCTGACCTAAAGTCCTGAGAGGTCAGTATGAGGTTAGCATGGTAGGAAGGTTCACATTCCCATTTACCTGTCAAGATCTGGCCTGGAAGTGAGAATCTTCCAGAAAGTAAGAATCTCCCTGCTCTACTCAGATTTAATGTCCTGGCTGCTGCGGACAAAAGTAAGGCTCCATTTCTGCAAGGACTGCCATGTGGAAGCTTATTAGACAGCTTACTAGAGCAGCAAGGTCTATACAGCATTGCTTTGTATTCTCATTTGCTCCACAACACCACAGGTAAAAATGAAAGAGCTGATCTGCAGCAAAGTTGGTGCAAGATCCCATTAATCCCTCGTTTACAAACATGCCACAGTCATTAGACCTCGCTGAAGGCCTTATTTGGCATGCAGAACCATCATGGTAGATCATGGAGTATGAGGAAAAAAATCCAGCCAGCCATCACAAGGCTGGCAGTTACAGAATAGCTGTCTTGGTATGCTCACAGGGCTACAAGGAAATCAGAAGTCATTGAATTAGGGAGCCTACAATGAGATGTTTACAGTCACATCCTAGAGGGCTGGGGTACCTTTTGAGTAAATAAGCAAGAACCTGATTCTTGCTCTTCTGTTGCGTGATATACAAGAACATAATATCTCTCATGTTTGTAAGGTGGGAAGCTGGGATAAATCTTCAGCCCTGCTCCATGTTAAAGAATGTAATATTCTTCCAGTGCCAGAAAGTTATTTTAACAGCCAAAGGTGAGATTTCCAGAAGAACCTAGGTGATTTGGGGCCCAAATCCCATTGCAACTGAGTGGGATTAATATCTCATTCCCAGAAGTACAATTGTGAAAACTCGATCCCTGTTTCATTGTCAGTGGAAATACCAGACCCAGCGGAGGTTTTGCAGAGCGTTTCCTGATTGGAAAAGAGAAAATTGGAAGCCTTGACAGAGTGGCCTTGCTGGCTTTTGTGTAGAGCCACAGAGTTAAATTTACTCCAGAGTTAAATCTGCTGGAACGATTGCTGCTTCATCTGTGCAAACACTTAGGTTACTGGATCTAATAAACATTTCTTCACTCTGGTGTGCTATAAAGTAAGTGGGTTCAGATGCAGGCTGACTAAAAGCTATGGAGGAAAGCCATTGCTTTTGGACAAAATGGAGTTTGCTTGTGTCTTCTCAAGTCAGCATCTCCTTGGAGATTAACACCCTCGCTATTTGGCTTTTAAGTTTTGTTTGGGAGGACGTCCTTTGAGTGTAGTGTTCTGTTGCAGAGAGGAAGGCAAATGCATTGTGGGTTGCAGATAACTGCAGCTGGCTATGTAACTAGACCCATGAAAAATGTCCAGCTCGGCATAATTTCAGTCCTCTGGGCTAGAGTTCACGAGGTTACGGCAATGAACTGCCACCAATAACTGTGCAACTGTTAAGTTACCTTTCTAAATCACAAAGTATTGCTTTGACTGAGTGAAAAAAACTGTAAACATGTCTGCATCTACATATATTTAGCTCAGTACTGCTCTGAATGATAAAGTCTGCCTGGTCCTATCTCCTGCATAAGTGAATAACTCCAAGCAGGTGAGATCACACTTCCTTTGTGATATGCAGTTGTACGTAAGTGAGCTCACTGTCAGGTAATATCCAATATAAAATATATCAGTGTCATTCCAGCTAAGTCTTATTTATTATTGCATTGTATGATACAGTTACTGTCAAGTTTTCAATCTGCTAATAATGCATCAAACTAAGCTGCTAACACCTCATTCTTTCTTCTGTTCCCTGCTTTCCTGTCTTCTGTCAGAAATAAAGATTTCAGACATAGGTAAGCCAACCAGTGGAGAATTCTTATGCCGCTCCCTGTCTTGTTGCATGTTGTTACACAGTGAGCCACAAGTGCCATTTCCAGATGATTCAATAGCAAATGAAGCTGGCGTGATTAAAACTGGCGTAGGCAATCAGTCATCAGAACTGGGAGCCATTAATCACAGAGCAGAGTCGCACAGACTTCTGCATGAGCTGTTATAGCTGTAGACAGGGGAAGTATAGACACGAGAAGCATGGTAACAAAAGGAGGAGGGTGGAAGGAAAAGTGGGTGGGAATTAACCAAGAAAGCAAAGTTAGGGCACCATCAGGATACAGGTCACTGGAATAGCTATGATGGAAAAAAATTCTCATATGGTGACATGTCTTCCTTTGAGTTTTGGGGAGTGTAACAGACATAATGAAGGGCCAGATGTACCCCAGCATCACCCACCTAGGGAAGTAAGTTTTTGTAATTCTTTGTCAGCCTGAGCTCTTCATAGAGAAACTTCACATTATGTGAAAGTATGTCAGGCTCAGATGGGAGGTAGCGCAACTCAGAACCTTAGCCAGGAAATGCAATAAAAAAGAGAAAGAGTAATGACAAGAAAACAAGATGAAAGAGAGACTCCTAAATTGGAGCTTTGTCGCTAAGAATATTTGTCATTTGGGTTCACTGGAGTTTCAGTGAGTTTGATCCAATCAGTTGCATTCAGGAAGATGTCAACCTCCTGTCACTGTCTGTGTTTGCAAGGACTTCTCTGGCTCTGACAAGTTTCCCATCCTTCTCCCCAGCTGCTTTCTAAATTAGAAGCTTAGACTGTGGAGTTGGTATTTCTTTTTTGTTTGGTTTTCTTTTTGCATTTGGGATTGGGGATTTTTCTTGTTACATACTTTTTATTTACTATTTCTTTGACTTCATAGAGGCTGTGCAAAACCAGAAATGTTCGTTTTATCTGCATGCTTGGAAATGCAATGGAGTAGAAATTGGTTTTTTGTCTTATTGCCAGAACTTTAATGAAGGGCTGAGCTTCCACAGTATAATGGACTGGCCCAAAGCATCTATTAGCAGGGCTGGGAGGTTGGTACACAAGACCTCTGCACTGACTGTCTTCATCAGGCTGAGTTCCAGACCCCTAGCTCCTCTTTCACATCATTTGCAGGCAATAGAAAAATTCATTTCTCTTTGGAATGGCCAGGTTATATCCTTAATTTGCTAGAAATACACAGCCACTAAAGTGCACCTGCTTTGAAAATGAAGGGCAACGGCTGAATACTTGTTACAGGAAGAGTTTTTATATATGAAGGCAATAACTGAGTGAAGATATATGGACTGGCCACAAATGCTGCAGATGCCACCAGAGCCTTACAAAGTTGGCAGGGCTTCAGCCTTTAGGCAATCCCTAAAAACTAAGAAATGAAATGAAACAAAGTCAAGAAATGCCTGCTTCAGTACAGTCCAAAGGGGACCAGTGAGGAAGGAGAAGGAGGTGAGGAGCTCTAGATCAAATATTTCCATCTGTGACTACATCAAGGGAGTCATCCATGTGAGTTAGCATCTGTTCTGTGTCATTTGCCATAATACTTCTTATAAGGAAGCCTCTTCGTTCCTGAGCCACAGGGAAAAGAGTGGGTGTAGTCTTAGCTAAAGCTCCAGTGCTTTGAGCTCCAGAAGGTCCTAAGCTTGACACCGTCGACAGGCAACAGTTGAAAAGGGTGAGATCCACAGGACTGAATCTTAGTGGTTTGGAAAAGCTGCAATCCATATGCAAAAGCTTCCTCACTTCAGAGAAAATGATTCCTCCTGACTACATAGCCTGTGGTGAGCTTGATCTCTAGAGGTTCTGGAGCTACCAACTAAGAGGCTTGGCTCTACAGTACAGCGTAGGTAGCCATGGTGTAACTCTGCAACAGCCAAAATGGCTGTGTGTCAACATGGGGGATGTTAGCTGAGACAAAAAGCATCACCAAGTTTACACCCATCTGTCATTCAGTAATAGATTAATAGGAACTTATTCCAGTATGTCTGTGTATGGACCTGTCTCGGTAGGCCTATAGAAGCTAATGACTTTGCAAGCATGGCAATAATAATTTGCAGGTAATTATCATTAGCTTTTCTCTGCAGGAACATGGAGGGCAGGGAGGCATTTCTGTCTTGCAAATATGCAAAAAGTGGCCACACTTAAATATATTCTTCCTTTCTTGTTTCCATTCAAACCTTAGAGAGACAAATCTACAATTAGTTGCAAAGAGAGGTAGCTCAGAAAACTGCCCTAGGATCGGATCAAAACTCCTTTGCAGTCCCTGGGTTGGCTTATGGCATTGCTGTGAAGTTTTATTATCCAGCCTGTGACACTAGAAGAGCTTTGGGCATCACACACAAACTGAAAACACTAAAAGGCCAAGTGTAAATTCAGCTCGCTGCACTGTGTGGCCTCCTTATGTATTAATCTATTGAATGTCACCCAGGGAAAAAAAGACCAGTACCTCACACAAGCTATAATAAAATCCTCTGTTTGTGAGCTGCAGGGTGCTTAGCATGGAGCCATGGAAACACAGCCCTGCCAAACAAAAAACGCTTGGCTTCAGGAATTCAGTAGTTCTTTAGTCACCAGCAAATGCAAGTGGCCAGCAAGGCTCAGAGGGGAAGAGGGCAGCTAGCACAGAAAGTTTTACAGAGGTGTTTTCATGTCCTTAAACAGAGACATCAGATCCAAAGAAGCCCCAGGGGTTTATTCAGATCAGCTGTTATGTGTAACTAACTTCGGTGTTGTGACTGCTCCTGTCTGTTGACCACAGTGGGAGCCAGAGCCATACTGTTACCATTAATAGAAGTTGTCCTTTAGAGGAGGTGGTGGATGCCCTTGCATTTGGGAAACTAAATGCAGTTCATCTTGTAAGCAAAATGTTGAAAATAAGTCAGATAAATCGTACCCAAAAAGATGCTATTTCTCTCCACTGCCTATAAAGGGAGTTAAGGCAGCCAGTTCAGATGTAAGCATCCACCTTGAACCATCTAAAGCTTGGTGAGATGAATCCACTGGCTTTGAACAGAAGCTAAGGAAAAGGTGCAGTCTGCTGTGCTGACGCACTATAGGTAGCCTACTGAAACCAGGGGCCATCTCCCTTTTTTCATCTTTATTCCTTAGAGACTGACTTCCCACTCTGGAGCAGGAGGTTCCTTCCTCAGACTCCTCCAAAGCATGGGCTCTGGGCCCAAGGGAATAACAGCTTTTGCTTAAAGCCTGTGTATCTATTATAGTACAACAGAAGAAATCCAGAGGAGTGCCACCTCTTTGTCCAACTTTTTATCACTTTCCTTCCTCACGACTGTGTGTAAGGAATCATGTAAAGCATAAGCACTTTAAAATGGAGTTTGAATCTCCAAACATATCTGCAGAGCTTCCCAAATGGTGCTAGTAGTATGCTGTCCAAGTAATGAGAATGAAAAAAGGAAGGGGACGAGGCAGATGTATGGGAGAGCCTATATGCAACCCCAAACAATTGGCATCACTGTGGACTTGGAAGATTTCTCTGTGCTTTCCCAGGACATCACCGTATCACAAGTGTACAAGGATGCAACATCCCCTCCATTTCACTTTGGCCTGCAGAACTTCTGCTTAGGAAACTGTCCTTATTCCCAGTGACTACACTGTCATGCCCACTAATACCCACTAAGTGTCTGTTCTTGTCTAGAGACCAGCCCACCCCATCCCTGCAACTTTGGTTTGTTGCTTCAGGGACTTAAAATATCAATGCAGTGCTCAGGGTTTCTTCTAAAAACCCTTAACAGCAAAAGGAATGATCTGAATGGGAAATCAGCTCTTCACCCACAGCCCTTTTCTAGTTGTGGCAGTGTCAATGTGGGGGATAAATATTCTAAGACTACAAATACTGTAACTGATTAAGTCTTCTGAATAGTAAAAAGTCATGTCTTTTGTTTTTGGTCCGTTATCTAACTGAGCAATGAGAGAGGATGAAAGGAAAAAAAAAAATCTTCTCTGCTTCACCCCAGGCAGATTTATTTCAGTTTTTGTTCAGTTCAGTCCAATTTGCCACTTGGATTTGCGTATTGATTGTAGCTTTAAAGAAAAAGCAAAGCCTCAGTGTTCCTGGCTCCAGTGCTCATGAATTATCACAGATGAAGGGAAGCAGTTTGGGAACTTTTACATTACTAATGTATGTTTGTTTAGCATCTCTCATCCTGAAGGATCTCAATGTGTTAAACAAAAGCTCCAATGTATAACGCTATGCAATTCATGCAAGAGCAGAGCGTCACACCTTCCCGGTACAGTGGTGAAAACTGTTGGCAGAGACCAGGGGGGTAAATTCAAGCTTGATCATTTTTAACAGTTTGTGTTTTACCATCCTTGCTCCAAAGCATTCCAGGTTAAATACTCCACTGCCTAAGCCATACCAAGGGGCCTTCCACCCACAAAAGCCTTATGTATGGAATGTATGTAGGAGACCATGATAAGCCATGCTCATAAAAATAAAAAGCCTAGCTGATAAAAATGAACCAGGACTTTCTATCACTTACACAGAGCCATGCAGCAGAAAAGATGTAGTTTGTATTGAGGCTGCCAATACCATTAATAACATTATATTTACAAAAGTAATTGTATGTCAGAGGAGAGGTTTGCTATCAGCTCACCAGGTGAAACCAGAATAGGTTTCAAGTGACCCAAGATTACTAGCATCCCATGGGTAGTTTAACCAACATAACTTTCTACCTCTACCTCTTCCAAAGCACGTTTGGTAGTAAAGGTGTGTCCATCCCTGTGGCATCCAGCTATGCAGAGGATTAAAAGTTTAACCAGTCAGAGCTAATTTTTCAGTGATTGTGAACTTTAAACTCACCCATACTTTTTTGAGGAATCTATATTCAGAACCTCATTAGTAGAACTAAACTTGGGTTACCAGCAGCTACTCAAAGTATTACCTTAATATGACAATTTTTTTCTTAGTAAATTTAGGGGGGAAGTACCATTCAGCTTTTCTGCTGGATGAATGTTTTGCTTTTACCTGTGGTTAAAAGAAAGCAGCATTTGCTTCAGTGTCCATTTTCCACAGGAGCTGGGAATAGAAAATAGTTCAAGATCTCTCTCTTCCACAGAAGGTTGTAATCAATAATAAAATCCACCAGATCGAGGCTATGAAATCCAAAAATAAATTACAATGATAGTGCTGTGAGGGGGAAGTGGGAACTTCCAGTTCTGCTACCATTTTTCTTCATCTTTGGGAAAGTCGTTTGCCTTTGCCCATCTGCAAATGGCATGCGGTAAGACTCAGTGAAAGCTATCTGTGCTTTCCAGGCAAAGATGCTAAAGAATTGCAAAGTGCCGTTAAAAATGTCCTCCTCTTGTCCACATCCCATGCAAAAAAGAGATTATGAACAGCTCAAAAGCTGACTGACATTCAGCTGGGCTTTGTTAGGACAGTCAGCGGAAAATGCAAGGCCCTGATCAAAATGGATGATGGATTCCCACAGGGAACTTCTTCCACCAGGGTTGAAGCCACTTGCTTAGTGTGAGTGACACGCAGGTAAATGAAATAATACCCTACCAGCCTGCTGTCATTGGAAAGGAATACAGATGGAGACTGAACTGTCAGGCTGGAGCTGTCTTGAAGGTCAGAGCATTTTATTTAGCAAGAATCAGTGTCATTTGTGGAGATGAAATCTGTTTGGACTTTAATAGGATAAATCACAAGGGATATTCCAGAATAAATCAGAAGGGCTTTATTTTTTCCCAAAGTATTAAGTAATTTGAATGGAGAACAAACTTACAGCTTTTTTAAGCAAAGAATAATTCAGTAGTTTTTATGTGTCTGAAGAGGGGTTAATTTTCCTAACATAAAGGTTGAAGGAGAGAGGAAATTTCTTATTATGAGGGATAGAGTCAACTGTGATTGACACTCAGGTTTCTAACCAGCTTCTCCTGGAACAATTCCACTAAGTGCAAAATTGTGAACTATGGCCTATACATTTATTATGAATTCTTGGGACCTGATGAGTTTGGACAGCTTGAAGGTGTTCTGGGGAAAAGTAGAGACTTTTTCCTACTTGTTCTAATTACTACTTAGCCTTTCTTAGAAGGAAGGAGACCTGTGTTCAGACAGCAGGTGTTACAAGTTTCATCTGTTGGTTTCAAGCTTAGAAGAGGTGCAGCTCAATACACACTACTAGTAAATAATTTTAATAAAAGAAGTTAATAAGTTTAATATCTATATTAAACTATAGATAGAATCCTTGAAAGACAATTTTTTAAAATTGTGTCTAAGCTCATCTGGTTGTTTTGTCTGGCTAATCCCATCAAATGCTTTCCATAAAGTGGTTGCTAGTTTATTCATTTCTTTAGTCTTGGGCTCATTTAGTGTTGTAGTCATGGAGCTAAAAACATTATCCTTCTGTCTGCTCACCCCATTTTTGCAGCCACCCTTTCTAGTTTTTGAGGAAGCAGTGAGTGAATGGGGTTTAATGGGGGACTAATATTTGGGTTCTTCAGCCTTTCTTCTAGTTCATATTGCTACATAGGGCACAATGTGGCACTCCAAGGGCCATTTTCTTTCTCTCTTCATTGAGGTCCAGCCAAATTCAGTGGCAGGACTCTTGTTAATCTCCACGAGGTCATGATAGGACTCTAGGGTCTTTGCTGGAGTCAGCAAGAGCACCAGATAAGCCCTGATGCGGTGATCAAGAGTGTATCTTCAAGTGCTTTATACTTGGGCATTTGCTTTTGGGTTTCTGTTCTGGGCTTTTTCTTAGGAGGACAGATTTTTTTTTTAATTATTTGTTTTCTGCACCTAGTGTACTACACTTTCCCTTCACATTCTGGCACTGCACTAACACCAGTTTCAAGACTACCTCTATATTAAGTAAATTAAGCAATCCCAGGCATTGGAACTCAACCTATAGTAGTTCCTGGCATGATTTTGTCTTGGGCCAGCGAGCCCTTTCCATTGGTAGCTGCCCTCCATGCCAGAGAGCACCCCAGGCACAGTGACTGGTAACAGATAGAGCTCAGGATCCTGTGCTGTAACACACCATGTATTAACATTGTCAAATACGGCACTGCTTCACTTTCCCACTCTGTCTGCCCTGTGCATTTTTATTCTCTAAAGTGCTTGCATTGCCTGTTGACTTAAGGAAACAAATCATCCAAAAAATAATAATGTCATACCCTTGTTTTTCAGCCACAGCCCCGCTCATAAGTATTACTTGACCACAGATCCAATCACCGGCTCCATCTACCTCTCCGACACCAACAGCCGACGTATCTATAAAATCAAGTCAACCACGTCAGTGAAAGACATTGTGAAGAATTCAGAGGTCTTGGCTGGAACCGGGGATCAGTGCCTCCCGTTTGACGATACCCGCTGCGGAGATGGAGGCAAAGGCACTGATGCTACCCTTACAAATCCCAGGGGTGAGACTGCTTCTTCTCCACAGGCTTTTTAAAATGGGTCTTTTTGAAAGGGGCTTGTTTAGTCATCCTGGGCACTGCTCTCCTCTCCAATTCAGAAAATGCCCTTGGATTTTGCAGACCTTCCCAAATCAACCCACAAACACATACTAAGGGCTTGCTTCTGGAAATAAGTGGGTACATCTCACCTTCAGCCAGTCCTGGTTCTTCTTATCGAGGTGGCTGGGAGGAGTGCCAGACCAGAGGGGTGTAGTAATGGGTACCTGTCCAAAGGGCAATAGAATAAATCCATCCATCAATTTTATGCCCACTTAGCCACTACTCCTCCTTGCCAAATAACAGTGTTTGGTCCTTCTCAATATGGACTAGATTCACTTACGCTCAGTTCACTGAAGCTTTCTTGGCATTAAAAAAATAAAAATCTCTGTAAGCATTGCTATATATATAAAATAGCAACAAAACCAGTATACAGCTCAGAGGCACGTAAATTGAGATTTATACATTGACTTCATATATCATGGCATCCAGCTGAAATCCTATAGGGGGGTGGATACTAATTTTGATATGGCAATGGTCTAATTCAGTGTGACTTCACCTGGCTCCTGATTAGCTTACTTAAATGTGATAAAAGCACAGTCAAATCAGAATAAAAGCATCACACAGCCTTCATGACTGTGAACTAAATTGTTCAAAACAGGTTTAGCCAAACATATGCAGTCCTCTGTGTAGCCAAGACTTCAGTCTGGCAGTCTCAAGGTAACAAGCTCTGCATATGGAGGAAGTCACTCCTCCCAGCTGTCCATAGCTCCTCGGAAGAAAACACATGGAGGGTGTACAGATGAGGTGGAAGACACTGTTGGTGTACACATCTTCTGCAGTGTTTGTGAAGAGGGGA